AATTCTGAGAAGTAATGCAACTTATTTGTCACTAAGGAGGACTGCATAGCCAAGTGATTTCTTTATGCATTTTAAAGTGTTTTTAAACCCTTGGGTAGCTATAGTCAGTTTTTAAACATGTTTTCTCATTAATTTTCAATTTGTAAATGTACATTGTACAGGAGTGTTTTAATCATCTGGGGAGGCTGCTTCACAGATGGCTCTTGTGTGACCTAAAATCTCAATGATTATAATGAATCAGAATGGATGATGGCAAACTTGCTTGGAGATTTGCTGATTGTCAACAGTTCTACAGCTTTGCTGATGTTCTTGAGAGTTTAGTGCTTTTTAAAAAATGAAAGGAAGGCAATTGTAACAGGACCTGCGGGGCCAGGAGTTGCCTAAATGAAATAATTTCAGTAGGCTCCTTGCTAGTCTCTGTGAAATTTTTTCCCAGTGAAATGTAACAGCAGAAATATTGATCATGCTGAATCAAATACACAGAGTATAACGTCATCCTCTCTCCAGGCCTACACATAACGGGCTGTTTCATGGTTCCCTGTGACACTACATATTAAAGTCCCAATTAAAATACGAGAAAATCAATTAAAATGAAAATATGAGAAAGTCTAAAACAAAGTGCTTTTTATGAATTATGTATGCCAGTGTTCTCCTTTCACACTAGAAGTTAAGAAGGTAAGTTAAATCCTTTGCCTGAGCAGAGGATTTCACAGTTGTATTCAGCTTTACCTATCACTGCTAGCGACTGAACTTAAGCTGCACCTGGAAACCCAGACTTCCTATTGACAAGTCCATTTATTAAGTCTCTTGTTCTGCTTCTCTGTGCTAAGATCACTGGTGCGTTGCCTTACAAGGTGAGCTGCATACACTGCAATGCACGAAAAGGAAGCGGGCCTTGACTATTAGACCCACATTGTTCTCATTTTAGTAATTCTGTGATCTTAAATGAATTCATTAGACTTCCAGAATTTTGGTTTTCTGAAAAAGGGTATATTTATCCTTACTAGGTAGAGTTCGAGCTTGCTCTGTTGCTAATAATAGGAATACTTAGGTTTGGGTCATTTAAGAGAATAGAGATTTTTTTTAGTGCATAGTTCTGAGAAATCTAGGCGCGTGGTGCTGGCACCTGCTGAGGGTCTTCTTGCTGCATCACAGGAGCCTGTGTAAAGCAGAGCTTGTCCCTGACTCTCATTCCTCACCTCATAAATTCACCAGCGTTCAGGCAGGGGCCCCACCTTGATAACCTTATCCAATCCTGATCATCTCTCAAAGGCTCTGACTTTGACCCCATTGTCAGATTAAGTTTCCACCTTCTTGCCTTCAGAATGGCTTACCAAATTGTAATGCCTGAATTTTGAGGGGACACATTCAAACTGTAGTGGGTTGTAAGGAGGAACTAGCACATGGAATTCCAACACAGAGAAAAGGACGGACTCCACATGTTGCACCCCTTTCTTAGCCTTTTACTACCCAGTTTCTCTCGAAGGGGTGGTCCTTGTATTGCACATGCCCCGGCTTCTGCTTTCCAAGGGCTCTGCATTTAATCTCTGTTTTCTCAGACTGTCAAGTCTTAGAAAAGTCTGGGACCCCCTGTTAGCTGGAAGGTCCTTGCAACTTCTGATTCTTAATGATGCTGAGGATCTCAAGAGCTCCAGGAGAGGTGCTGGAAGCAGAAGGAGACCAGGACACTCACTGTCAGGTAGTCAGAGACATCCGGTAGGAGTCTCGGTACTTAAGTGAGACACATAAAGCTTGCCCTGTCCTCCCACTTTCCCTGGTGGGGAAAAGTCTCTTCTCATTCCTCGTCTGAGTGTGCACCGGTGTAGTAGCTGTACTGAAAATGATATGATGTTTAGCACCACCCTGCAGCCCCTATCCTCCATGTACTGGAGATTCCTGTGGCTCATCTCTGCTGACCACACGTCACTCCCGTCAGTGCTCGCTTGCCCAGCTGTCCAGTGCTTGCCTGCCCCAAGCTGGGGCAAAGAAAAGGGATATCTTATGAGCTTTCTGTGAGTTGAATGAATGTGTTGATCCTCCCGGAAACTGTTCATTATAATGAAGACCAAACAATGAAAAGCCAGAGGAAGGAAATATCTCCTGGTGGAATATCAAATAGTAGGACCCCAGAGCAGAGCATCAGGTAGGCAGCCATGACTTCTGGGCCCTGAGGAAGGTGGCCACCCCTGACCTGGCTAGGGAGGTTGTCCACAGGGAAGCTAGTTCTGTTCCTTGCATAGCAAACAGAAGGATTCAGACTGGTGGTTAGGAATCAGTACCCTGTTAACCAGAACACCCGGAGAAGTCATCTGTCTGCACTTACCTTGTTCCCTTGGACGCTGGCTAGAGGAAGTCCACTCCCCATGTAGTGATGACGGGTAGTTATGTTGTCTCCTCCTCTCTCCCACTCCTCATCACAGGAGAGTTTCTTGCTGAGCCCTTAGGTAGATTCAGGATCTTTCTCAACTCTCCATCCTAGGCAGCTTTCCTTGTTTCATCAGATATTACTAGTGGGATGAAATCAATTTACCTTCCTCAGGCTATAATTTGCACATCCTAAATTAGTCTGAGAAAACAGTATTGTCTCCCATTTTACTGATGTGAAAACTCTTTAGAGAGGTCAGGCTTCTCGAAGGTCATCCAGATGGCTTATTACAGAAGAACATTTCACAGTGGGTGTCTCCTCTCAAATCCTTTGCTATTCTGTTATACCCAGATGCCTCTTTGAAATTGGTTCTATTTTTCACATAATTAAGTAGATAATAACACAAAGATACTATGGTCCTCAGGATGTAGATTTTAACTAATACAGACAAAAAATCCAATTCTTCGTAGAAGGCTTTGGATTAGGGCTAATGGGAGTCCCTGTCAAAAGTAGATGTTGTCCGAAACACCTCATCACATCCTTCCCTTTAAAAAACTACTGTAATCAGGCCAGCAGGTGGCATAGTGGTAAAGGCCCTGGGCTTCCATGTGGTCTACCTCAGTCCAAGTCCCGGAGCCGGTGGCTTAAACTCATAACAGGCGCGTGTGCGTGCATGCCCAAAATCCCGAGAGGAAAATGGAGGAGAAGGGATTGCAGCATGGTCATCCCCTTGGGGGGGAGGGGTGATTTCTTGCTTTCTGTCTCTCCTGTGAGCACACAGGCCCTATAGTTCAAAAAAAAAAAAAAAAAAAAAAGGCTTTCCCACTACTCCCACTACTATAGGCCTATGGTAACCCTGGTCAGTGAAATTAACACAGTAGTTTCAATGACAGCAAAGTTCAAGTTGGCCCCAGTTTTAGGATTGTTCCATGAACAGGACATTTCACATGGCTTATTGAATTAAAAGAGAATTCATGAGCAGACTTGCTGCCTCCCAGGATCCCCTGTCCTACAGAGCCTCTTTGTTGTGGCTGGGAATATACTTCCAAATAGTTGGTATTTTGAATTCCAGAAAGCAGCCAAGTACAGCATTGCATTCCCTGCTTCTCCAAAGTCTTCTGTTTGGCATGAAAATGTGTGTTCTGATCTGGGTGTCATGTTGGCCTGTGTGTCGTTCTTCACCAAAGGACCCAGCGTGGGAGCATTCATGGGGAGCTCTTCTGAGAACCAGTTGATATTCCCAGCCTGGCAACTCCCCAGAGCTCTCCTGGCTGGCCACCCATGGTGCCAGCTAAATGCTTCTTTATTTCCCTCACCCAGCTCCAGTTTTCATCATCCTAAAATCTAATTCAAACTGGGGTCATCAGGTACTGTGGCGGTTAAGGCACTGGATTCCCACATGGCTGACCGTGGTTCGAATCCCAAACCCAGAACCTTGAAAATCACACCAGGACATGTGCATGTGTGTTCAAGACTAGAGGAGAAGGGATTGTGGTGTGGCCAGAGGAGAAGGGATTGTGGTGCGGTCAATCTCTCTGGGGGATGATTTCTCACTTTCCCTCTCACTGTCTGTCTCATCAGTGAGTGCATGGACCCTATTGCAAAAATCTAAAAGAATTTTTTAAATATCAATTCAAGATTTTTTTTGTCTATGTGCCTGTAGCTGACTAGTCTAGTTTGTATTAACATTTCTCCTCTCTGAATTAATATAGTAGGGATTCTGACAAGGGCTGTTCCTATGGTTGGATGTGTGTGCACTGCCCTAACCTACAGTGCTGTTCACATCACTGTCACTTTAGATTTCTGTAGTTGTTACAGTCAGCCCTTCGTATGCCTAGGTTCAACCAACTGCAAATTGGAAATATAAGTAAATAAGTAAATAAGTGATACAATAAAATAATACAAAGAAAAAACAGTATAACAATTATTTACATAGCTTTTGCATTATTCTAGGTGTTACAATGTTATAAGTAATCCAGAGATGACATAAAATATACAGGAGGTTGCACAAAGGTTATATCCAAATTTTATATAAGGGATTAAAGTGCCCATGGGTTCCAGGAATCCATAGTGGTCCTGGACCAATCCTCCTCAGATAGTAACGAACAACTATATTATGTTGTTTCAGTGTGTAACAGCAAGTGCCTTGATACAGGGGCATTTTTTGTTGATTCATAATGAAGGGCCATACTGAATAGTGTCAGAGATATCTACCAGTTCCAGTTGTCCAGTGAGACACTGAAGATCGTCTTATTCTCCATTGCAGAGTGCACACCTTAAGGTCTGAAAGGAAACAATCATTGGCTATGTGTGAGGTTGCCAGACACAGGGCTGAAGAGGATATTATCTCATTCCATTTCCGTAATAATAAGATATGGTGTTTGTCTCTTCATTTTAGGTATCAAACTATAGATAGTTCTCAAGCCCACCCAGGGTTGGCAAATTAAACGTTTATGTATATTTATACACACACAGTTAGTTCAAGGTCATGTTGGTGATTACTGCTCAGTCGATGGAATGCTGATCAGTCTGAGTTCAAGATCATGTTCTTTCCTGTATATCCCCAGTATATATGGCTCAGCGGTCATCCCCCACGATACTCAGTAGACCTTATGAGAATGAACTAGTTAAGTGTGTAGCAGGAAGCAGGGGAGGGTTCCTCACGTTTTCATTGCCTGTGAACTGCAGCTGCCATTGCCCAGAGTGTAGGAGAGTGAGAAAGCAGTGTTGTGGGCCACATGGGTCCAAACCTGCTCAGAGCACCACCATCAGGACTTGCCATCCATCTTGCCCCTTCCGTATTTCCCCTCTGCCCCCGTGTGGAAGTGGCACCACCATGGTACACAGAGGGTTGAAAAAGAACGTGGTGGGTATTGATGGAATCATTTTATAAACTTGCAGGAATCCAGACTCACCTGGAATGAAACTGTGGTTGAAACTGCTTGGAGAAAGTGAATACAGAAATCTTCTCAACTCTATTTTAGTAGTTAGCATCTCGCATTTAAAATGCCAGTGTGATCCTGTGAGCAAAACATGGCCTGCCTGGGTGATGGTGAGAGAAGAGATCCCTGTATCTGGCAGATGGAGGCATACACAAGGCAGCAACTCACATTTCAGGGTGTGCCCTGCCCACTGCTACATGGCCACTCTCGAGAAAGACACTCACCTTTCCACTGTTAGTCAGACATAAGATGGGAGAAATCCTTCCTTCCGTGCGCTATCAAAGGATTGCTATTGAGAGATGAAAAAAGATATATTTATGTACAGGTCTTGTGAAGTCGTAAAACGCTGTCCACTTTTGACCAGCAGATGGCGTGTTGATTACATCTCTGGACTCCCCCTTAGCTGACTGTGAGTTGAGGATTTGAATCCTGGGCCTGGTGGCTTGAAACCCATGCCGGGTGTGTATGCATGAATGTCCAAAATCCCAAGAGGAGAATGGAGGAGAAGGGATTGTGGCATTTCCATCCCCCCAAGGGGATGATTTCTCGCATTTTGTAGCTCAGTCTCCCTCTGTCTTTCCAGCGTGCATGTATGCACTATAGCAAAAATGTCTCTGATTTTTTTGAGAGATTTTTGCTATAGAGCACATGCTCTTGCCAGAGAGACAGAGACAGACAGAGAGACAGAAAGTGAGAAATCACCTCCTGGGGAGGATAGCCACGCCACAGCCCCTTCTCCTCTATTCTCCTGCTGGGAGTTTGGGCAAGCATACACACGCACCCAACACGAGTTTGAAGCCACCTGGTCTGTGACAGTGACGTAAACATATGCCATCTGCTGGTTCAGCCAAAAATGTCTCTTTAAAAACAAAAAAACTGTGTACACTTATAACTATGCTACTATGTAACCACTCACTTGGTCATTCAGTGAATGCTTATTAGATTCTTTTTCTTAACAAGTACTGCTCTAAGCACTGAGGATACTTAGGGGAAAGAGATACATATGGTCCCTATTCTTAAAGAATTTATATTTGAATGAGGGTACATAAAATATAAATAAATAAACTTACAATGTAATTTCAAATAATGATAAGAATAGGGTAAGAAAGGGTGATACGATAGAGCAGAGATTGGCAAATGTATAGCCCATGGGAGTTCTATCTGGCTGGCTACCTATCATTTTAAATTTTTCAAAAGTTTATATGTTGGGGCCAGCAGGTGACATAACGGTTAAGGTGTTGAACTCCCACATGGTTGATTCGAATCCCAGAGCTGACAGCTTCAAACTCACACCAAGCATTTGTGTGTGTGTGTGTGTGTGTGTGTGTGTG